GTATGTAGGAATAGGTATTCTGAGGGAAAACGTATTTAAAAAATTATAAATAAAATTAAGTATGTACTTACTGTTGCCGAAGAATATAGTTATAGGTTCTGAAGAATGAATAACTATGTCGTTTTGAAAAAAACGATTTCAAATATAAGATAATATTCACGATATATTCACAGCGCAATAAATTCTGCGAATAAAAGGACTGGAATTGGATAAATGGCGTCGTTTTTTATTTATGGCATTGTTGAAAATAGTATTTTGCCGCCTTGATAATTTTTCTTGTTTATAATTTTAGTGATCTTATAAATGTAAGATGGGTGATTTACATTAATTTATTACATAGATGTTGTTACATATGTCAATGAATCTACAAAATATATGCATATTTATATAATGCAAATATACAGGGTGTAACGTAAAGGTTGGGAATAAATTAAACGGTGGATTCTTTAGTATAAAAAATAAATTTTTGTCATATGAAGTTATGCTCTACGGGTTTTCTTTTTCAAGCTACAGGGCNAGTAGGATAAAAAATTATTAGTGGCATATATATTGACAATTGTTGTAAATACAATAAAAAACTGATTTTGCATAAAATTGTAATTTATACAATAGATAGTTTATTAATTTTGAATATAAAAATATGTATAATTTTTAAGATGTATTAAATGTTATCATATTAATATTAAAAATCAATCAAGTTATATTTGAAAAGTAATAGTAAATAAAAACAAACGATTTTTATGTCAAAAATTAAAAGAATGTTTTTTATTATATATGGCCATTAAATTAATACAATTTCAAATGTAATTTTAATAAAGGATTAAAATTCATTCTGTCAAATATGTTTGAAAAATTAATTTTAATATTGAGAATTTCAGATTAGTTTTTAAAATATTTTTTGATAAAATTTGACAACAATTATTACTACACTATATTTGAAAAATAATTTACCTGAAATAGATATATAAAGATTTTTAAAATAAAGTAGTATTGACAAAATTGTTATGTTTTTAAAATTCATGTTCATTTTACAAAAAAGGGCATTTCGGTGTTTAATATATACTAAAAAAAATAGTTCAGCGTGTCCATACACATATGCGCGTACATGCATCAAACTTTTGTGAAAGGTAATTTTTCAAAAATTAACAACAGTTTTTCATATGCACAATTGAGAAATATTTAATTTTTAAGATATGGAGTGTTAGTTCCTTTTAAAAAAATTATTTTCTCGAATATTTTCTGAATGCATTTCATAACAGCAATTTGTTTTATAAAAAGGATGTTAGACTGATTTCTCTAATACATCAATGAAAAATCACAAAAATTATAGTTTTTTCAAAATTCTCATTTATTTGCATTTTTTTTTCTTTGTAAAATATTTGCATTTAATAATATTAATGAAATGTCTTATTGAAAACATAAGTATTCCTTTATAGTTGTTTCAAATAAGAGTTATTGGGAATAAATATCTAAACAATTTAAAATTATTCTTGTATGATAAAGGGTGGTTATTTATTCTAGGCTGTATTTAATAAAAAAATTGTCAATGTTTATTCAGTATTATTTAGTAGGAAACACACTTAAATTCAATTTTCTACTATTTAGAGTCAAATAGGTTTTAATAAAATAATCAGTTTTGTAAGTGATGTATTAAATAAATAAAAAGACATTGTTAAATAAAAGTATTCGTCAATTTATTTTTTAACTGATTTAGAATTTTGTGCTCTGCGAACATATTAAAGTGAATCGTGATTGAATGACCATAATCTATAAATATTTNTGTTTTTCTACATACAGAGTCGGAAAGTCCCCATGGTTCATCGGCCGTTACGTGAGAGCGATAAAGAAAGTCATAGATCCACAAATAAGAAGTGGATCTTATTTGTGGAAGGGCGAAATGGGCGGTGACTATTAGACGCCTTCATTATAGCCATCTTTCTCTATCGCACGGATTTCTATGATTTTCTTTATCGCTCTCACGTAACGGCCGATAAACCATGGGGACTTTCCGACCCTGTATGTGATAATATGGTTTTTATGTATTATTATTCAATGAAAATGTCTTAAGGCTGATACACTTCACACACATTTAGTAGGTATGCATTTTAATATGTTTATGAATGTTAAAAAAATCGTCAGATTTAAAATATCAAAGCTGTAATTTTAGTACAATTAATTATGAAATAAATAAAAATAAAACAAAAATTCGGAAATTGAAATTTTTGGGTTTTTGGACTTAAATAAGTGAAATATAGTTCTTTTTTAGAAGTAACGTTAGAAACTGAATGCAGTTAACAAATTTACAAAAGTCAGTAATGTAACAATGTAGGGGTTGTAGCGCTAGCATTGTAACAAAGTACATCTGTTAGCGGGTCTTCAATCTGTATATTAATTTAATGGTTTTTGTCTTTAATTAGGTAAATTATAGGAGAAGTGTTATTTGTCTACATTTAAACATTTTCAGGTCTATTTGAAAATATATATAATTTTTTTAATCTTAAACACTGTATCATAAAAATTAATTTTGATATTCTTTTATTTTGAGGAGTTCTGTTAACAGGCAAAGTTTTTAGCATGTGCAATTGAGGACATCTGCGTAGCTATTTCTGAAAGATTTTTTTTCTCTAATACGTTTAAAAATATAGGTTGCTAATAAAATACAGGTTGGTCTACTTAAATCGCGTAAGTCTAATTTTACCTAGTAATAATGAAATTCCGAATATATTTTTTTTACAAATATGTGTTAGAAGTTGAAGTAGACCTCGAAACCGTTTTCTTTTTTATTATTATTCAAAAGGCCCTGAACATAAGCAAATGAAAATTTACTGAGAATTAAATTTCTCATCTATTTTAACACAAAATTATTTTCAAATTTATTTTATTTTGTTTGTATACTTATAAAAATAGCCCTTATGTTGTTTATATTTATGAAATTAATTACTTTTTGAGTAAAAATAATTTAAAAAAGTTTAAATATCAAAATTTTAGTCTTAAATAAGCGAAAAAATAACAGCTCCTCTCTCAATAATTTAGGTTTAGATATTGTTATTTTGACATATTTAAAGAAAATTTGAAATGCTTGTTTTGATTTTATTTTACCTTTAATAATCCTTAATTTGGAATTAAGCTTATTTTATCCTGTAGATGAAAATATATAATACATATATATATATACATATATTTGATATGTCCTTCTAATTTTTAATGGATGAAATCCACCACTTATGCTAAAAAACTGAATAAATATAAAAATAGGTGTTATAGGTATAGGTTAAAATCGTATCTTAATATATAGAATAAATATTGTCTTTTATTGTGGGTTATAATTCACGTTATTTTTATAAAGTTTCAACCCTTAAAAACCACCCTTATCGATTTCTGGGGTTATTTTCAATATTTTATTTTATATCCCCTAGAAGGGGTGGTTTCCATCCCCTGGGCAAAAGCGCTCATCGGCACTATCTAACTTTTGTTTCTTGAGCAATTTTCTACTTACTGTTAAAATTTCACGTCAATCGGTGCATGTGTCAAGAATTCGGACCTAAAAACCGTCATATAGTGAGCTA